GATTTTCTTGAGCGAGGCCTATAGTATGATCACTAGAGCAAAATTTTAATGCCACTCAAGTACATTATTATTGATAGGCACTAAAACAAGGAATAGACTTGTTCAGCAACTCCTTCCACCGAACTCCCCTAATATTTGAAAGATAGTGGAGTTCAGAAGCAAACACCCCCTGCCCCCACCCCGCACCCCATACGCCCCCCCCCCCCTTTTCCAATAAAAAGTTTTGGGGTCTATTTTTATTTAACAATATTTTTGTTAGTGTCCAGTGTGGATACGCCCCCACCCCTTTCTTTTCACAGATTTTCTCCCCCACCCCCCCCCCCTCTCTCTCTCTCTCTCTCTCTCTCTCTCTCTCTCTCTCTCTCTCTTTCTCTTTTATCATAATTCCCTCTCCCCTCACACACACACACACATACACACACACACACTTACACAAATAGGGCACCACATTGGGAACTTACTGTTCATGATACATTCTCGTATCCTCCTTTGTTCAATCCAAACTTCAGCTTCCTGTTCACTTCCTGTTTACCACAGGCCCCCAAGAAACCAATATCAGATCCGAACAAACACAGAAAAACAAATCCCGCCGTTCGTATTATACAGATCGATAAGTTATCTGATCGAATGATTGGTTTGCGCTGAACCAGTGCTGTCCCAGCAAAATCTGACCGTTGTCCGAACGTCTAGCACAAATTGGATTAGAGTCCAGGAGAGGTCTTACTTGGACAGCCGTCGGTTCCGGTAGCTGAAGGAATGACATCTGGATGTCCAATGTTCAGATCCAGCCATTGATGACAACTGTCAAGGGTGACGTAGATTTCACGTGTAACATATAATGAGATTGTGTCAGTTGCCATCATTTTCTTCTAACTGACGTCAGTTGGAGAATGTGTTTCCAATCCAATCTGTACCTGATCAATTTCTCTAGATACGTTAGCTTCTGACGGTAGTCTAGCGATTGTCTAGCGATAGTCTAACCGTAGTTTAGCGATAGTCTAACCATAGTCTAGCGATAGTCTAACCATAGTCTAGCGATAGTCTAACCATAGTCTAGCGATAGTCTAACCGTAGTCTAGCGATAGTCTAACCATAGTCTAGCGATAGTCTAACCATAGTCTAGCGATAGTCTAACCATAGTCTGGCGATAGTCTAAAGGTAGTCTGGCGATAGTCTAAAGGTAGTCTGGCGATAGTCTAAAGGTAGTCTGGCGATAGTCTAAAGGTAGTCTAGCGATAGTCTAAAGGTAGTCTAGCGATAGTCTAAAGGTAGTCTGGCGATAGTCTAAAGGTAGTCTGGCGATAGTCTAAAGGTAGTCTGGCGATAGTCTAAAGGTAGTCTGGCGATAGTCTAAAGGTAGTCTAGCGATAGTCTAAAGGTAGTCTGGCGATAGTCTAAAGGTAGTCTAGCGATAGTCTAAAGGTAGTCTAGCGATAGTCTAAAGGTAGTCTAGCGATAGTCTAAAGGTAGTCTGGCGATAGTCTAAAGGTAGTCTGGCGATAGTCTAAAGGTAGTCTAGCGATAGTCTAAAGGTAGTCTGGCGAAAGCCACACGTCTTCACCATGTTCGGAGTAGTGTTCTAACTGTAGCAGATTAGTTTATTGTTGTTTATTGTCTAGTCTGTTGTTGTCCAAAAATGGGACCCAATTTCCCGGTTGTTTTATTCCCCATTCCGGCTCTTGTCAAGGGCCCTAATACATGATTGAACCGGCTTTCTAGGACTTGCACTGGGGGGATTCTCATCCGAAAGGTGACACTTTGTGTCACCTAGTGTTCATCGCTCACTGCCCGGTCCTGGTAGTCTTAAACTTTATTTATTCATTCAAGCAGAGTGGCAAGCTTCACTGGAGAGGTCACGGGTGGTGAGCATACTTTGGGTCTTTTCTCCAGCAATGCCGGCGTGGTTGGTAATGAACAGGCAGACAGACTGGCTGTATCCGCACTAATGGTTGGTAAAGTGGGAGTTAGAGTGACGCTTACCAGCGTCAAAGTTGGGGAGGTGTTTGTACATCTCTGAGTTAGAGTGATGCTTACCTGCGTCTAAGTTGGGGAGGTGTTTGTACATCTCTGAGTTAGAGTGACGCATACCTGCGTCTGAATGGGGAGGGTTTGTACATCTCTGAGTTATTAGAGTGACGCATACCTGCGTCTGGGTTGGGGAAATGGGGGGGGGGGCGGTGTTTGAACATCTCTGAGTTATTAGAGTGACGCATACCTGCGTCTGGGTTGGGGAAAAGGGGGGGGGGCGGTGTTTGTACATCTCTGAGTTAGAGTGAGGCTTACCTGCGTCTGGGTTGGGGAGGTTTTGTATATCTGTGAGTTATTAGAGTGACCCATACCTGCGTCTGGGTTGAGGGGGGGGGGAGGTGTTTGTATATCTCTGAGTTAGAGTGACGCTTACCGCGTCTGAGGTGGGGAGGTGTTTGTCATCTCTAAGTTAGAGTGACGCTTACCTGCGTCTGAGTTTTGGAAGTGTTTGTACATCTCTAAATTAGAGTGACGCTTACCTGCGTCTGAGTCTGAGCTGGGCGTACCTGCATCATAATTAGAGCTGTATTAATCTATCCCTGAGTTAGAGTGGTCTACACCACTGTTTTATGTCACATGCTGATGACGGCTTTTTAGCTGTAACGTTTTTTTCGTCATTCGGGGCTGAAATTTTGTTGGAAACAGACGAATCTGGAGACAACATCAATGTCGGGTATGATTTATGGTAGAAGAGGCACGGATCGACCATCAGACGGTAGACATAGGTTAAAGGGGAACCTGACAATAAAAGTTCAGGACATGTGAAAGAAGTGGCAAGCGGGTCGCCCATTGGCTCGCCGGTAGACGACTTTGGGTCTGTTCTCTTTGATGGCATCAACACTACAGGAATCCTTTTCATGGGGTGCTGGCTGAATGTGACGCCTTTTTTTTTTTTAGAAAGCAACAAATCAGGCGTTAAAGTTGGCAAAAAATATTCTTTACGCTGTCTTGATAACATTATACGCCCTCGGACAAACCAGGGTGCTGAGGCCTCTACAACAATAACTCACAGGAATGATATTTGTATAGATGGCAAGTCACGTGACATGCACAGACTAGCATGGGGCCCTTCTGCTGGTGGGTGCCCCCTTTGGCCAAGTGCCCGGCGGGGGCCCATACCTGAAAACGCCCCCCCCCCCCACCCGCTGTGTGCACTGTCAGCAGCATATGAAGTACGTGGCGGTGATTTCAGGGTAGCAATGGACGCAGAACTACAGGGGAAACAAAAACAACCACAAACGCAACAATTGAAACAACAACAACCTAAATCCTACAATAAAACAAAAACAACACACTACGAAGATGCAGTAACTACAAATCATAATACAACATAACAGCAAGGAACAAGATATGTGTCCTCCCTGCAAAGATATCAAATAGTTGTGAAAATATGATACCGTTGTGTGAGTCATTATTTGTTCAAGAAAGGCCACCAGCCGAAACGTTGTTTTGTGCAAGTTTTTCTGTTTTCCCGATTCGTGAAGCTGTTTAGTCACATTTCGCTAGAATAGCTGAAAGAATATCAGTAATCTCTGGTAATATATGATGACGCTGAAAGGATATCAGTAATCTCTGGTAATATATGATGACGCTGAAAGGATATCAGTAATCTCTGGTAATATATGATGACGCTGAAAGGATATCAGTAATCTCTGGTAATATATGATGACGCTGAAAGGATATCAGTAATCTCTGGTAATATATGATGACGCTGAAAGGATATCAGTAATCTCTGGTAATATATGATGACGCTGAAAGGATATCAGTGATCTCTGGGTAATATATGATGACGCTGAAAGGATATCAGTAATCTCTGGTAATATATGATGACGCTGAAAGGATATCAGTAATCTCTGGTAATATATGATGACGCTGAAAGGATATCAGTAATCTCTGGTAATATATGATGACGCTGAAAGGATATCAGTAATCTCTGGTAATATATGATGATGTCATGTATGACGCTTAAATATAAGGTCTAGGCTCACAGACACACACAAACATCCACCCACACACCCAACCACACACACACACACACAGACACACACAAAACACACCAACAAAAACTGAACGAGACATTCACGCCTGCAAGGAATATGAAAATTTTCAATGAGGAACAAATAACTGAATGACTTAAATAACAGAGGGCAGAAATGTGAAACCTGAAACAACCGAAGTAGAGGAAAGGTAATGTTTGTCGTGTTTCGTTGCTCAAGACAAACGTTAGCTCTGACTTCTTCTTTTTAGCGTTCTTCGGCTGCAAACTGCTGTGAAAAGTTCAGGTTGGTAGTTTAAAAAAAAAAAAAAAACTAGACCCAATTGGAGATGAAACAATCATCTTGTAGCATGACCTCAGAAGAACGTAGCTCTCCTTGCTTGCTCCTACAACCCATAGTTCACTTTCAGACTCTTCATTTCCTGTCATTTTATTCCAGATATGTTTCCAATGTACTGTGTCAACCTTGAAGTTATTCCTTTTGTTTCTTATATTTACATCCAAATCGCTCCGTAAAAAGTAATATTACAGTAAACATTGAGTGAAACAGGCAGGTGTTGGTTGGCTTGGCTAAAAAAAAAATATTTACATGGCCCAATATCTCTTTAAAAAAAAATTATCATATAAATATGGCAGTTGAAGAGGTGTTCATATTAAACACTATGTACAAGAAGTAAGTAGGTAACTTTTACCCCACCAGGACATCACATAAGCAATAAACACCAGATGACACAAAGTGCCACTATGCGGATGAGGATCACCCGTGGAAAGGTCTAGGAAACTGCGTACAGCCATTAGACCATATTTATGGCCGGGCTATATTGCGGCCCCTGGCAAGAGCCAGAGTAGGGCTTCAAAACAAGGAGATGACTAGTAGGGTAATAGAAGAAGGTAATTATGGAGCTTTATATATGGTCAGAGAAGAGAGGCATAAAAAGGCTTTTGACTCTTGAATGGTTTGTGGCGAGTGCTAAATTCATGAGACGTGTAGAGAGGCGAGGTTACATGTGGATTCCGAACCATCGCTTGATGTATGTTGTGTGACCCAATCCAGTCCAAACCCACTCATATTAGTGGTGTCCCCACATGAGCCTCTGTGCGTGTGGGTTGTTATTTCCCCGTCCCGGTAACCCACCCGCATCTGACCCAGCAGCCAGACTAGCGCGCCACTGCTGCCCCTGCAGGTGGGGGCATCGTACACGTACTCTGTCCACTCCACACCCGGGCATTTGTCTTTGATGTGGTTTCTCCTGATATCAGTGCCCAGACTGACCTGCTTCGGGTAGCCGTGTGGATGGGATATAATCACAGCTAAACCTGGCTGGCCATTCGATGTTCCCTGGAGGTACTTTTCATTCAGTTCTCTTTCTTTCTTTCTGAGGAACGACCTCGCCCTGTGGATAGAGTCCTGGATATCAGTGTCATGGGTGACACATTCTAAAATACATCGATCGCTTTTCAGATCGAAGTTCACCAAACGAATTCCCTGCATCCAGGTGATACTTTCTCTGCAGGTGATGTCATTGAACTGCCATCCTACCTCTGTCTGAGACGCCTCCAGATCATCAAAGACTACATGAAGAGCAGTACTGACCCAAATGAAGTGCCAGGTCTGACTTGGCTGAGGAGAGTCTCTGCAACGTTGGCAAGGACAGCAGCTGCCTTTTGGTCTATGTTTAGGTATAAAAACACTACCACTACCCATCCTATGGTGTTTCATGATATCTGACCCAGCCACATCGCTGAATGGGTAGCCTGGAGGTCTGTTTTCACTCGTGTACCCAACCTTGAGAATGACACCCAAGGTAATCAGCCTTTCAACGCAGTCGTAGACGTCCTTATCCCGATACTCTTTGGGCAGGTGTTCCGGTGTAAATTTGTTAACTGGAATAAACTTGGCATGGTTGGTGTTCTTGGTACAGAAGACGATGCTCTGATGGAGGCCAGCCAGTCCGTCAAACGTGATGTCAGACTCGCAAATACCTGCAGACGACAGTCAGAGACAGCAAAATCAAATCGTGTTACAACATGAAACAAAAATGAATATAGTGCAACAATGACGTCTAGTACTCTGGTTAGCTGCGTATCCTTTACAGGACGATGCAGAACCAACCCCAGCAGCCCCTGGTTGTTGTGTGGTTTTTCTAGGCAAATTTACGTCCAATAGTTTGCCATTGCTTTCTGGGCGGTCGGCCACCTGATACCACTGTCGAAACCAACGCAAGGCGCATGGCCTGCAGCTGAGATCGAACCCGGCATCCAGTACTCTCTTATTACAAAATTGCGGCTTGAAAGTTTTTACAAGCTCCGTTGTTTAGCATTATTCCCCGCCAACAACCTACGCTGGCATTATTTGCATATTTATCAACAGTAACCCTGCCCCTTCTGTCCCCCACATCACATACATACACACACACACACACACTCACACACACACACACATACACACACACATGCACACACACACACATACACACACTCACACACACATACACACAATTGTTATGCCTATATGTTTTCAAAACAGGATATTATGGTCCCCATAGAAAAAAGCCCACAATTCACACCTAAGTACAGAAAGGGAAACATGAAACAAACAGTAAAGTAATGCATTGAAATCCCGGTGGAGACCAGCGCAAAGTCAACAAGAGAGTAAATTACCCTGAATTTCCAGCTTAAAGGAAAACATATGAACAGGACAGTAACATGCACAGAGTCACTTATGGTTTTCACGCCAGTAACACATCGGATATATGATGCTAGCAGTGCCGGATTTAGTATACGCTACAACAGGGGGGTCACGATCTGCAAGGGCCTCAAAAAATTCACTTTTTAAAAATGTTGACGCTTTCCCAGAAATGTTATAATAATATAGTGTGGGTTTATAATCACAGGCTTTTTCTAGCTTGTTAAGAGCAAGTTTAATGTGGAACGGTAGACCGACTGACAGACTGACTGTCTGACTTTTTACCCCACTTGGGCATCACATTGCAATAAAAACCCTGGGACACAAAGTGCCACCTTTCGGACGACGATCACCTGCGGAGAGGTCCCAGAAACCCCGTTCAGCGTCAGGGTATAAAAGGGTTACCGGCAAGAACCAAGGTGGGGCATCATAATAGTGAAAAATGCGTGCCACATGGAACTTCAGACTTTAGAGCGTTGTACAGATGAGGGTCTTATCAAATCAAAATCCGGCTCTATTCGATAGATTTTTATTTTTATAGATCAATCAGCATTCGAAAGGTGATTCTGTTGACTTCTTCCAGGCTGACTTTACTTTTCATGATATTTCAAAATAAGAAATTAATACCTGTAAATTCACACACATCTCATTTTGTTTGTTTTAGTATCCAGAAGCCATGAGTTGTTAACTCTTAGGCTCGGTATTATGGATATCGCAACCTTTCGGCCTTGATTCCATTGTAAATACCGTCAATCTGGGAGAAAATGTGGCTTTCCTGCCTACCCACGGGATTGAACCCGGACCACAAGGAGTACGTCACCCGGTCTCTGCGAAATCCGGTTTAGCCAATTCCGCTAGAGAGCCGGGCACACACATCTCAGTCAATAAAGATATGTGAAAAAATAAGGTGTGGTGATTCAATTACATATTAACTGACCTTGACCCAGTAAAGCTTGACACGTGACACGGTCTTTGCATGTGAAGTCATCTGTGGCTGAAATAGAAACATCCAGAAAAGATAAAAATAGAAATAAAAAAAAACAGGAAGCCCCGTGTAGAGTGGATTGTTTGTCTTCACAGTGTGGCCTAGTTTACATTTGTTTTCTGGGAAAACCTTTTGACAAACATTTCGGTGGTTATGTTTCTGGTGTCAGCAAGTATCTTATTTGTCTTCTTCTTCTTCTTCACTTCCTCTTTTACCGCTGTGGGTGTCGAGGGAGATATAAGGTTCTGTTTCTAGCTCTTATGGCTGCCTCGACCATAGGCACATCTAAACGACTAAAACAACATCCCCTTGCAAGGGGATGGGGATGGGAAGGCAAGGGGATGTGGGGATGTTGTTTTAGTCGTTTAGACAAGCTTTGATTAAAACGCTTAGATGCATTTGTGTTCGTATTTTATTGTCGCTAGTCGAACCTATAGTTCAGTCTATCTTAAAGTCAGCTCGACTAAATCAACGCTATTTTCGACAAAAAGAACATTGATAACAATAGACAAATAAGATTGTGTCTTATCACCACCACTGCGACAGTCTGTATTCAGCCCAGCACTACAAGAACTCGACAGTCTGTATTCAGCCCAGCACTACAAGAACTCGACAGTCTGTATTCAGCCCAGCACTACAAGAACTCGACAGTCTGTATTCAGCCAGCACTACAAGAACTCGACAGTCTGTATTCAGCCCAGCACTACAAGAACTCGACAGTCTGTATTCAGCCCAGCACTACAAGAACTCGACAGTCTGTATTCAGCCCAGCACTACAAGAACTCGACAGTCTGTATTCAGCCCAGCACTACAAGAACTCGACAGTCTGTATTCAGCCCAGCACTACAAGAACTCGACAGTCTGTATTCAGCCCAGCACTACAAGAACTCGACAGTCTGTATTCAGCCCAGCACTACAAGAACTCGACAGTCTGTATTCAGCCCAGCACTACAAGAACTCGACAGTCTGATATCAGCCCAGCACTACAAGAACTCGACAGTCTGTATTTAACTCATGGTACCAGCAAAGGCTTGCAGACATTAGTCTGACAGGAACATAATATGGCGATGTGGCTGGGGAGAAGAGGGTGGGAGGGGTGGGGGCAGAACCAGAGACGACCACGCAGAAGATGAACGGTAGAAAAATCAAAAACACTGAAAGGTAATTTATACGAAACAAACCGAAGGGCCCGTTCCAGGGATCTCTTCCTGTCCTGACGCCACGGGGCATTCTAAGAGTAGAGAAAATATGATGCATAAGAAGAAGGTGGCAGACCGATTGCAGTCATGTAAACAAGACGTTAGCCAAGAGGCACATGTATCACAACATTCGGTGCTTTGTTAATATCCTACCCCAAATAGGGGCAATACACAGGTCACGGGACAGTCTAATATTTTCGGGGGTGGTAGATATGCTGCATGCAGTCGTGGACTAAGGCTACACTCTCTAGTGGGACATATGTGGGTTGGGGTTAGAGCCAATTCTAGGTGCTCTGGGGTCGTTAAAAGCATCAGAAAGCCGGGAAACCCAGTCTTACCACCCTCTAAAATGTTGGACTGTCGTGTGACGTCATATGGGGAGTAGTATATTAATAAAGTACCCAACATTCTTTAGAGATGCAATGCAATCAGTATCACTTTTGAGGCGGCGCGAGGACAAAGAGAATTGCACGTTTATATGCTTATTTAGCGTTGAGTGGTTGAGCACGTTCAGGAACTGAATTCTATCACGATGTGTCACGGAAAACACTTATCGTGCTGAGTGGGTCAGCTAAGAGACCTGGTTCAAGGCCGATTGTGCATGTCCGAATGAGCACACTGGTAGGTGTTATTGCCTCTAGTTGGCGGGTTGTTTTTCTCACCCTGCCAGCGGACGCCTGGTCCGGTTCAAGGCCTACTCCAACTCCAATCAGCCCACATCATTATTAATCTTGAGACAAACAATTCTCTCTAACGAAAGTCCGGATATTCCCTGTTCGGATTATAATCCGTAGGCGCTGGAAATCTACAGAAAAGTCCCGAGAATAATTGTACACAATAAGAACTAGAGTGCTTCGTAAGCTAGGATTTCCAGGGACTCTTTAATTCCCTCTGTCGATAGCTTAATTGGTAGGCCTCTTCTTTGCTTACCGCCTGGTTTGTACATCATTGCTTGCTGTGGTATATTGCCTGCTGACATCCGCGTCACATGGCCAAACCATTTCATCTGTTTTCTTCGGATTTCATCGTTCCTGATCTTTTCTCTTCTTATTATACTATTTAAACAATTACAGAAAATGTGAAAGACGCCTCACAGCTTACAGGACGATATAGTGAAGGTTGAAAGAGTTAGAAAAGAATAAGAAAAAGAGTTCAAGCTGTGTGCAACAGCTGCAACAACAACAAAAAAGGGAACATTTTATGAGCGAAATAGGAGGGGATAAATTATTGGGTTGGTTTCGGAAACCTCACAGACAGATGCAAAGTAAAGATCGGCCTATAACAACAGGCATTATATACACTGATAATGAAATGCCAATGACAACAGACAAAGAGAAAGGGGGAGCATTTTTGAAGAGATTTATAGCCCAAACTGATCATAATAATAGGGAGCTTAAAAATTAATTTTGAGATAATCTTTCCAATACTATAAATGAAAATTATTTTCAGGATAGGATTGCGTACACAGCTACATAATCCCACTACCAAAAACCAGGCAAAGATCATTCCAGACCCGGTGCTTTTTGGGTTATCAAACTACAAGATGCTTGTGGCAAGGTGCTAAAAAATATGATTGCTTCTGAACTAAAAATGTCTTTTGGTTGGGGGGGGGGGGGGGGTGTGGAGGGAAAAGCTCTTGCCAAAAGATTAGGGTAGTTACCGGCCACGGAAAGATGTCTAGTCAAATACAGCTACTTTTGCTTCCGATGTTTATGAAGGGTTCCAGAATAGACGGGAGATGGCTGTGGCAGCACTTGATCTTGATGATGTCTACAATAGAGTCAGATATGATATTTTGATTTCTGCGCTCAAGGAGAGGGGGTTCGTCAGTGGACAGCAGCTGTCCTGCAATCACGTACGTATGTCTTTCGCCTGAGTACATGGACCCTAGAACCACGTAATATTGCCCCGAGACTACCATCTGTTCTGCAATTTTAGGGGACTGTGTGGTCTCGAGGTATAGTGTCCGCCTCGAGTGCTAGAGGTCCCGGGTTCAGGCCCCGGTGAAGGCTGAAATTGTTTTCAAGTGGACTTCTAGTAATTTCCTATGATCTCTTAGTATTGAGGTCAGACGACAGTGTGTATAAGGCAGTTTGAAATCGAAGAGGGTAGCCTAAGGGCGCTAATGTCTAGTTATGAATCTACCCAAAGTATTTCAGTATCCTCGCCGTTGCTACGGAGCCCGTGCACTGTGTTGAGCAAATTCTGACTTAGACCTAAGTTATAAGTAGAACGGCTCACTTATGGGTTACTACCTGTGTGCCATGATGTCGATCCGTTGTTCAAACTTCAAAGTTCAAACATCAGACCTCTGCAATTTCACCAGTGCTCTTCAATGTGTATACAAGAACGATTGCAGAACTTGAAGCACCAGGTGTTGGAAGGATATTACCATTTGCAGATGATGTTCTTCCATATAGACAGGGGAGCGATATACATCAGACAGCTAAAGAGCAACTGTAGACAAAGTGACTGACCGGTTGGTGCTGTCATCAACTCAAAAAAGGCGGCTGTTTTGTGGTGCTCTCTGGACAATAGAATTGTAAGAGCCAATGTTTCAAGCCTCAGAGTTAATTACAGTAACATCAAAGGAGAAAAACTGAGGTATCTGGGTATCACTTTCGATAGAAGTCTGTCCTATAGGGATCACGTGGAGGCAGTTGCGGTGAAATGCCACAAAGGACTCAATGCTTTGAAGTTTATTGCAGCAATGGATGTGGAACAAAGAATGCAGCTCACAATGTTCCAGCATGTGATCCTGTTTTTGATAGATTATGGTCTTGGAATGCTTACCATATCAAAGAGTCAGCTGATGAAACTTCAACATATACGAATTGAAGCTATGGGGGCAATTCTGGGATGTAAAGAAATACCCCGGTAGTTGAATGTTAAATGTGGAATTTTGAATTAGGAATCTAGATTAGAGTACTCGGGACACTCCCATAAGTGCTCACTTCCCATCTTAAGCAACAAGCGAAGACATCTAATTCAGCAGGCACTAGTAGCCGTCTGTTTGTATATCCGTCTCATTCTTCTCCTGGGTTTCCAGCGACTGCCAGATCCCCTGGTAACTCTTCGCAGCGTCATTCTCCTCAGACCGTAATGATCTATTTGCACCTCCGCACTGTTCACTTGTTCCCAAAGGCCCCCACAAAATCTAGCTTGTCATACATCAGTTCACCACCAAGTGGTGCAGAGTCGACCAGTCTATCTGTCTGCTCAATTCCCAAAACACCGGCATAGCCTTCAGAAAATATCCAAATGATGCTAACTACCTAGGACCTCTTAAGTGATGCTTGCCCCTCTGCAAGAAGCATACTTGTTCTCACCTTTCCTAACATGCTCTGCGAGTCAGTTACAATCACGGCATGTGTGTACAGCTGATTCCTAAGCCATTCTACTTGTTTATATTGACAGCCCTTCACATGAATCTCATTTCAGCTGTTGGCATTTTTCTTTTAGCTGTTTCTGTCTGAAACACAGGGTTGGCAACAAGATTATATCCTTGAATGTTTTTTCTTTCTTTCTAACTCATGTTTGTTTCTCAGTATTGGTGCCCTTTGCCTGATGAGTGAGTTTGCTTTGTTACATCTGTTATCAATTTCATCTTCTGTTTTGCCAGTTGATAATATTATGCTTGCTGAGTATTTACCAATAGTAATTGTGGGTCCGCATTCATGCCAGTTGTCCATTGGGCATACAAACCAGACACATTTTATGTAGCCCAGTCGGCACTCTCTGGCTGATGCGGCCCACTTCACGCGGACCGGCGTTACTTTCCAAAGTTTTGCCTGATACCTATTCCTATATATCATTTAACATAGGTAGTAAGAGGGGCCTGTGTGGTCACGAGGCATGGTGTCCTCTCGAGTGCTAGAGGTTCCGGGTTCAATCCCCGGTAAGGACTGGGATTTTTTCACCTGGACTTAGACTTCTAGTAATTCTCCTGGTCTCTGGGTAGTGAGATCGGAAGTCCGTCTGCATTGTTGCGCAGTAAAAAATCCCTTGGCTGTTGGAAATCGGAAAGAGTAGCCTAACGGCGCTGCCCGGACAAAATTTACAGTTAAAAATCGACCCAAAATATTTCAGGATCCTCGCCGGTGCTACAGTGTCTGTGCACTGTGCTGAACTTCTTCGGACTCAGACTTGAGTTAGAAGAAGAACGGAGCACTTAAAGGTAACTACCCGTGTAGTATGATGTTGATCCGTTGTTCAAACTTCAAACTTCACACGTAGATAGTACGCTCGACAAAACTGACATTAATATGTTCACAGTTATAAATGCAGAAGAGAAACGTAGAGATAGGCTAATCTAACTAGGCCGCTAGTTTCAACTAAAGCTAAGTACTATTTTCCCGCTATTTGTGAACGGCTGTGTTGTGCTAAAGCCACGTGATTTATAGATTAATGGACACAGGCTGCGAAATGTGGTCCACCGTTGATATAGTTTACGGCTTTCTTTAATAAAACTTCTGTCCACCAAGAAGTAAAGTAGAAGTAAAGGACCCTTTTCTACGCCTTTAGGACATATAGGGCTAGACCTATATTTTATATGGTGATGTGGTCAGCATCACTCCGGCCACCTTTACTTTCCAGGGACTGTACCCGGTACCCACTCATGGCTGGGTCGACCTGGGAGCCAAAGCCTTTTTTTTTTTTTTTTTTAAAGTCCGGCTCCGCCAGGGAGCGAACGCACGATCTTCCGATCCACGTCGAGCGTCTAGCCTCTCCGCCACGGCGACTCCACTCTGTCCACTAAAGTCCACTCTATCAATGGCCAAGCTATCTTGCAAAGCTGACCTGCGTCTGTGTGTTCCATTGTTGGCTACCATTGTGTAGATACGTTTAGAAATGTGTAAAAAAATTTTTAACCTATGGACAAGACATGGCCACAGCAACCCGGAAGCAAACACGAACACTCAAACCGAATAGTGCATGTAATAATAACTAAAATAGCGGTTTATGGCATAAAACTAAATAAAACATTTCTCACTTAGCCAATAACGTTTGGTTCAGGGAAATTTACACTGATATTATTCTGGGGTGGGGGGGGGGGGGGGGGGGGGGGGGGGGGGGGGGGGGGGGGGGGAATGAGTGACACAGAAATGTGTGCATCACAGGTTGTCGATGTAATGAATGGTCAGGAAGAGTTCAAGCAATACTATAATTATCAATGGTATCTGAAAATTAAAACACAAGATACTGATTCATCATCATCATCATTATTATTTTCTTCTTCTTCTTCTTCTTCTTATTCTTATTCTTCTTCTTCTTCTTATTATTATTATTATTATTATTATTATTATTATTATTATTATTATTATTATTATTATTATTATTATTATTATTATTATTATTATTATTATTATTATTCTGTTTCTGTGTTGCCCTTTAAAATGGCTGATGTAGAAATGATGATGGAGGTGGGGTGGTAGTGGTTCGCTGTGGAAGGGGAGAGGGGTGATGCTAGTGGGGGTGGTAGTGGTTCGCTGTGGAAGGGGAGAGGGGTGATGCTAGTGGCGGTGGTAATTGTTGGGATTAACATTGTAAGAATTTAAAACATTAACAAGAACGTCTTCACTGCCCAGGATTTATCCATTAGAGCCCAGTTTCACTTCCTGCAGAAGACCTTACAATACAAGAGAGTCCCACAAAGCACGACGTCCGTAGTTTTCGCTCTGATCGCCGGGAATTTCCTTCAGAACTTCACTGGTGAACCGAGCAACACCTCCAGGAAATTGAACACACGACTTGTGGAATGCGAGCCAACCTAGTTTGAACTTTTCGCGATGGAGACCCACAGATGATGATGGTGAGTGGGAGTAGTACGGTGATGATAATGATGAGTGGAAGTAGTACGATGATGATGATGATTATGAGTGGGATTAGTATGATGATGATGAGGAGGATGATGATGATGATGATGATGAGTGGGAGTAGTACGATGATGGTTAGTGGGAGCAGTACGATGATGGTGAGTGGAAGTAGTACGATGATAATGAGTGGGAGGCACAATGATGATGATGATGAGTGGGAGTAGTAAGATGATGATGATGATGATGATGAGTGGGATTAGTACGATGATGATGAGTGGGAGTAGCACGATAATGATGAGTGGGAGTAGTATGATGATGATGAGTAGGAGTAGTACGGTGTTGATGATGATGATGGATAGGAGTAGTACGTTGATGATGATGAGTGGGAGTAGTACGATGATGATGATGATGATGAGTGGGAGTATTACAATGATATGATGATGATGATTAGTGGCAGTAGTACGATGATGATGATGGGAGGGAATAGTACGATGATAATGATGAGTGGCAGTAGTAAGGTGTTGATGATGGGTGGCAGTAGTACGATGTTTATGATGAGTGGGAGTAGTACGATGACAATGATGATGAGTGGGAATAGTATGATGATGATGAGTGGGAGTAGTATGATGATGATGATGATGAGTTGGAATAGTACGATGATGAGAGCAGTGGGAGTAGTACGTTGATGATGATGATGAGTTGGAGTAGTACGATGATGATGATGGGTGGGACAAGTACGTTGATGATGATGATGAGTTGAAGTAGTACGATGATGATGATGATGAGTGGGAGTAATACGACGATGATGATGAGTTAGAGTAGTACGATGATGATGAGTGGGAGTAGTACGATGATGATGATGATGATGAGTGGGAGTAATACGATGATGTTGATGATGATGAGTTAGAGTAGTATGATGATGATGAGTGGGAGTAGTACGATGATGATGATAATGAGTTGGAGCAGTACGATGATGATGATGATGATGATGATGATGATGATGAGTTGGGGTAGTACGATGATGATGATGATGAGTTGGAGTAGTACGATGATGATGATGATGATGATGATGAGTTGGAGTAGTACGATGATGATGATGATGATGAGTTGGAGTAGTACGATGATGATGATGACTGGGAGTAGTACTATGATGATGATGATGATGAGTGGAAGTAGTACGATGATGATGATGGTGATGATGATGACGATGATGATGAGGATGTTACTATCAGTAATGATTCTACAACGCTTTAGCCGTTGCGGACGCTGATAGTGGTAGTGATGGAGACTATGGTGGTGGTAATTATTAAGGGCGTTATGCAACACCTGTCTGCTACATAACCCTGTAAGACAGGCTAAGACATTACCTTGTGTTTCCCCTCCAGCTGTGCACAGATAATTCCATGTACGATCAGTCTGAGCGCTTGTCTCTTTGCGTCTCAATCGCGCCACCTCAGATCTGTTTAACATAACTACCTGCAACTTTGGAAACAACAAATCACATTCAGTATGTGTGCAGCATTACATTTCCTCAGATTCGTTATCCTCCTATTGTTTCTTGTTCTCTTGTTGTTTTCCTGCTTGTTAATTCTTCTTTTTCTCTCCTCTTCATCCTCCTCTTACTCCTCCTCCTTTCTAGAAGGATTCAGAAAAGTACAAAAAAAAAGAATAAAAAAGGAAAGCATAAATGGATGAATGAGTCAATGAATTAATGGAGAAGTGTGAAAGAAAGAAAGAAAGAAAGAAAGAAAGAAAGAAAGAAAGAAAGAAAGAAAGAAAGAAAGAAAGAAAGAAAGAAAGAAAGAAAGAAAGAAAGAAAGAAAGAAAGAAAGAAAGAAAGAAAGAAAGAAAGAAAAAAGAAAAAAAAACGACATTTATACCTTTTAAACTGTTCTGTGTATTCTGCTAACCCAATATTTGTAAAGACTACGGTGGATTCTGAATCTACGTCATACTGACCGCCTTCGCTTCCCCAAACCCTGCTATAAAACTCTGTAAAATATATTGTATTATGTGTTGACCTGGAAGACAAGGTTATATATTTTATCTTTCAATTCTCGCCTTGGCAAAATTGTCAACAAACCACAGAGCATACTTTGGGTCTTTTTTTTCAGGCCATGCAAGCGTAGTGGGTAATTAACAGGCAGACAGATTGGCTGGATCTGCACCACTGTGTGGTGAATTGAAACATGACAAGGCAGATGTGGTCAAGGCCCCTTGGGAACAATCAACGGAATCAGTAAAGTAAGAAGATTATTATGGCCTAGAGAGAATAAGGCCTCTGGGTGTAACTAGAGGTTCTAGCCGGCTCACTACACTCAGAGGAAAGGCAAGAAGGACATAGAACCAGATTGTGACCGGTAGCATCAGTACTGGAACTTTGCGATGACTGCTGAAGATGAAGACAGAGCGTGCATGGGAATGCCCCAAGTGCTGTGATGTCAGTTCTTTAATCAACAAAAAGTCCGTGTGGGTCGCCAAATATTCCAAGTCCATCATCTATCACTGACAGGATCACATACTGAAACATTGTGAACAGCATTCTGTGTTCCATGTCCATAATCTTGAGAGCATTGAGTCCTTTTTGGCATTTCACCACAACTGCTTCAACGTGATCCCTATAGAACAGGCTTCTATCGAAAGTGGTACCCAGGTACCTCAGTTTGTTTTCTCTTTTAATAGTCCTATTATTACCCGTGAGGCTTGTAACATCAACTCTTACAAGTCTATTGTCCAGAGAGCACGACAAACCATCCACCTTTTCTAAGTTGATGACAGCACCCATTTTGCCCATCAGTCATCACTTTGTCTACAGTTGCCTGCTGCTTTTGCGCTATTCGCTGTCTATTATTTTTTTGCCTATATGCAAGAACATCATGAGCAAATGTGAATATCGTTCCTGGTGCTTCAAGTTCTGCTATCTTGCTTGTATACACATTAACGAGCACTGGTGAAATTGCAGAACCTTGGGGCAGTCCCAGGGCTATATTACATGGTTCTCAGGTCCATGTACTCAGGAGAAAGGCAACCATACATGAATGCAGGACATTTGCTATCCAGTTTACACACCAGGGACTAACCCCCTTCTCCATGAATGCAGATATCAAAATATCATATCTTACTCTAGTGTAGGCATCCTCAAAATCAAGTGCTGTCACAACTGTCTCCTGTCTGTATTGAAACCCTTCATAAACATTAAAAGCAAAAGTAGCTGCATTTGACCAGGTATCTCTCCGTGGCCGGTAACTGCCCAAACCTGTTGACAGCAGCTCTTCCTTTTCCAAAAACAATTGTAGTTTAACAGCAATAATCTTCTCTAGGACTTTGCCAAAAGTATTTTGTCGGGTGATAAGTCTGAAACCGCTGAGTCTGTACTGATCTTTGCCTGGTTTCAGAAGGTGGATCAGGTAGCTGTGTACCCAATCCCGGAGTACTGACTCAGTTCTGACGCTCTGAAATGCCATCTCCCATAAGTCTTCATCACTCATGCTCTTCATATGGGCATACCTCAATCCATCTGGCCCAGCGCAGTGTCTTTGCTTTTTGCAATACATATTTTATATCCTCCACCCGAATGATATCCTGAAAATAATTATTATTTATAGGTATCGATGTCGATTTGTCACAAATAAATATTAGTGTAACACTTAATATTCGATATATCAAAAGAGACACTTACTTGATTTACTTGCTAACAATAATGTACAATTTTTTTTTCTTTTAATGTCCTTTAATTGCAGAAAACCAACTACGTCGTCACAATAATCGTCACAGACGTGCACACAGATTAAACATCAGAAGAGAATCTGCACTATTGGCCAGCCAACATCCAGGATGTTATGTGACCAGCATGCGCTGAAATCGACAGGTTCCCTCGACCTAAATACCACTTTATTTTTAGAGTGTGAAGGCTACCCAGCCATGACATGTGACCAAAAGGCGAAGACACGGATTGAACTCATCGCGGTGTAGGTCATGTCAATACATGTCTGTGGCTGGCTGTCACATTAGAAATGGTTAGTGTAGTAATTGGTTAGCGGGGTAGGGGTATCCCCTATCAAAGGAGAAGTAAGACGCCTCCTTTCCTCTGCTAGTCTACGGGAAACCCTTGGGCAAGGTGGAGTACCCGTTTAGCCCCCCAATCAGGGTTACGTGAAGCCATGGAAGCAGGTGGTGGATGGAGTGTAAGAGCAGCCGACAGGTATTGTTGGTTATGGTCTGCACTCTGCGGCGATAGGCAGATGATCTCATCAGTAGAGACAATGGCTATGGCCACCGACTAGTATAGTCACTGCTCAGGAGGAAAGCAATGGCAAACTACCTTCTGCAAATTTTGCCAAGAACCCATAACAATCATGAAAGAAAACATAACACAGAAGAGATCTGGTGGCGAGACCCCAGGCCAGGCAGATCAGATAACACTGGGGAAGAGTGTGATACAGGGGTCGGTACTAGTAATCGTGATGACGGAGTTAATCCTGACTGTGTTACCAAGGAAATCCACTGTTTCAGACTAAAAAAACAGAATGCGAATAGGAACGTGGAATGTGAGAAGTCTGTATGAAGGAAAGCTTAAAGTAGTATGTGATGAGATTGAAAGATTAAATATTCAGATCTTAGGAATTTGTGAACATCGTTGGAGTGGCAAGGGACATTTTATCAATGAATATGGAAGCTTTTTCGTATATTCTGGTAGAGATGTAAGAGGCCAGAGCGGAGTGGCATTTTGTTTAGATAAAACAACAGCAAAAGCTATTATGGGATATAATCCAGTTAGTGATAGAATCCTAACTATCAGACTTAAAGGCCGTCCAAAAAACATAACTTTCATGCAGGTATATGCACCAACTTCAACAGCAGAGGAGGGCGAAATTGAAGATTTTTATGCCATACTGCAAGACACATTAAATAAAATTAATCAGAATGATATAATAATAATAATGGGAGATTTTAATGCTAAAGTAGGTACAGGCAGAGATGAAAATGAGAGACACGTTTTAGGAAAATTTGGATTGGGTAATAGAAATGAAACAGGAGAAAAATTGATTGAATTTTGCATAGAAAATGAATTAACAATAGCTAACACACTTTATAAACAACACCCTAGAAGGCTTTTCACATGGACATCCCCTGACGGTGTTACCAAAAATCAGATAGATTACATTTTAATACAAAGAAGATGGAGATCGAGCATAACATCTGCAAAAAACCCTGCGAAGTGCAGATTGCGATACAGATCATCAGTTACTAGAAGCAGATCTAAAATTAAAACTCAAAAAGCTTACCCGAGGACCAAGGCCATTTCGATTTGATCTCACAAAAATACCAGATGCATACAACGTAGAAGTGAAGAACCGTTTTGAGGTCTTGATGTCTGTACAAGAGGAAATGACACCTGATGAACTGGCGGTACAAGCTAGGGATATCTTGATAACAGCAGCTAAAGACTTAATACCCACCAGGACTAAGCAACATAAACCATGGATCACACCATACACGTTAGAACTAATAAAACAACGAAGAGAACTGAAAAAGAAAGGAGAAACCAATGATAGTAGGATGAAGTATAAATTTTTTACACGAGAAATAAGAAAGTACACAAGAAAGGATAAAAATCAGTATGTACAAGATTGCTGTATTAAAATAGAGCAGCATCACAAAAATGGAAGAGATTACGAAATGTTCAAGGAAATGAAGTTATTGACAAGAAATTTTCAACCTCAGTTAAATGTTATTTGTGACAGGTTGGGAAATACTTTAACAGAATCTAGACAAATTCTAGGAAGATGGCAGGAATACTGCAGCGGAATGTATGATATGAATGACAGTGAGGATATGAATGATATACATGAACCAGTAACAGTAGAGGCAGAACCTGAACCTTCATTAGATGAAATTTCATGGGCAATAAGGAGCCTGAAAAATGGTAAATCACCTGGATGTGATGAGATACCAGCTGAATTGATTAAAGCGGGAGGAGAAGAAAGCATAAAAATCTATCATGCATTATGTGAAAAGATATGGAAATATGGTATTTGGCCAAAAGACTGGAAGAGAAACTATCTTCATTCCAATACCAAAAAAGGGTGACCTGAAATTATGTACAAACTATCGAACTATTGCCCTGATCAGTCATGCAAGTAAAATTCTACTAAAAATTATAATGAGAAGACTGCAAAAGAAAATGGAAGAAGAGATTAATGTAGCTCAGGCTGGATTTAGACAGGGAAGAGGAACAAGAGATCATATATTCAACATGCGTTTAATAATAGAGAAGTGTAGAGAATTTAATGTAAATCTGTTCTTATGTTTTGTGGATTATTCAAAAGCATTTGACTGTGTACAACATCAGAAGCTTTGGGAAATCATGAGGAATATGGGCTTTCCATCACATATAGTGCAGCTCATTAAAATGCTCTATCAAGACCAACAAGCAGCAGTCAGAATAGATGGAGAGACATCAGACTGGT